CAAAATGAGATTTGGCATTTGCCAGCTGAAGTAGAGTATAGATTGGCCTATGAGCTGATGATAAGTTGTTGATGCCATGGGCCTTCTGCTGGCCAACAACTATGTGACAGTCTCCCAGGTAGCTGAACAGCTTGTGGCTGTGAATGAGATAGTCAGAAATCTTCGGATCTTTCGAATGTGTGGTGGTATTCTGGTCTCTACAGTAAGAAACAATGAAAGCCTGAGAAAAGCCGAGCTCTTTTCCCTGGTCAGTCACAGTAAGCTGTGGCTTTTAACCAACAAGTCAGAAACTTTATAAATTGAGAGCAAGTCACTCTGTGCCTCCTGTAAGGAATTGAAAGTACTTGGAGAAGAGAGAGATCAAGGAGCAGCAAGTCCTGACAAGTGTCTCAGCAAACGTTGTGGACAGGGACCACTGAGCTGCCTTTTGGGTTCTTTTGCGTCTGTCTGTATGTGTATATAAGGGGGAGTTTTATGAATGGGTTAGAGTTTTAATGCATAGAGTCCTATATCAACAGTTCATAATTGTTTACCTGTAACTAGAATCTATCTATTTCTAACAGATAGTAATTCCTGTTAAATACAGAAACCTAGCTATGTTTTCTGTTAACCTCGGCCCAAAAGGCAGGTAATTGGGGAATTTTGCATCCTTTGATAAATTCTTTATCTTTTGCAATGACTTTGAGAGTAGCAGGGCTTGATTTCCAGCATGGTACCTCAGTGAGGTGAGACGAAGCAGCTCAAACAGTGGAGGGTTGGGGTCGGATTTGGAGAATGTAATCCGTCAGCCCCTCAGCTTTAGCCTTCAATGTGAATTGTGGTCACCCTGCTCTGTTTTGTTAAAAACTTCTGCTCCTTCCCACTTCTGAGCTACTTACTTCCCCTATTCTAAGCTCCAGCCTTGTGATATCAATGGAGCAGTCCAGACTTGCTCTGAGTGTGTGCTAAAATCTTTGTTTTACATCCAGCTTTACACACTTTTTATTCCATGTGTACAATCATAGTCATTGACTTGCCTCTAAACTATGTTAGGGCACGGAGATAAACAGCCAAACCAAATCAGCCTTTCTACTTCTGTACCCAATGCACAGCAGCATTAAACCTTACAAGACCCTTAATAGTTATTCCAATGGTTCCTATCAAGATTTTTGAAAAACCAAACCCAGACTTTACGCAAAATTAATTCAAGACACTGGTTTTGTATTTTAAACACGAGACTCAACAATTTATTAAATATATAACAACTTTAGCAGAGAAAAATTAAATAACAATGTAATCAAATTAATGTCTATGCTCTAAACCTGAAATATATGTTTTCAGCCTTTCAAAAGACAGACAGACAAACAAACACTGTTAAGGGATAAAGAAAATAACAAAACTGGCCAAATTACTTAAATACTATATTTCACACCCATAGACGCGGGTTCCTTGGATGCTTTTCTGGAAGTATCATTCAGGGTCACTTTTCAGTTCACTCAGATAAAAATAGTTAAATTTGTAACTCAGCTTTCTATTCTTTGGGCTTCCAGAAGCTAGGGAGGGAGATTAGGCAGGGAGATTTCAAATCTTTATGCTGTGTCACCAGCAGCCAAAAGTGTGTCCCTGAAAACATATTTAAAAAAAAACTTCAAATATGGTTTTGCCCTACGAGACTGATTGCCTTTTTCCAAGGTCTCCATTACTATTCAACAATTGCTTTCTGTTTGAACATAGGGTCTGTTCCAGACTTGCCATCACCAATTCGCAGGAACTGAGCTTGTTAATAGCCACCTTCTGCTATCTGTTTAAACATAATATGCTTCCCCAGGGGGTTGCTGTGTCTATAGGAACCCTGTTAATCAAGGTTCAAATTGCAGTAACCTCCATGTCTGGCTTCATAAATAAACAAAAACTTGTTGGGTCTGAACTTTTATCAAGGGCTGTTTCTCAAAGTTCACATCCTTTTCAGCACACAGTTCACAATTCACAGCTTCAAACCATAAAAGAATAAAAATAAAAATAATGGAGAAAAATCAGTAAATGTCCCAACTGCCAGCAGCTATCAGTTTTACACCTTTAATCCATCCTAGAAACACGAGCTGAAAATGGAGAGTCTGTCTCATTGCATGGTATTCACCAATGGCACATGAACAAAATGTATTTTATATAATCTTTACTTGATACAACTGCTGAAGCTAACAATATTTAAAAAAAACCTGTTTTTATTATTCTCTGTTCTACACTGTCTTTCATGGGGAGGGGCTGTATTCTGTACAGTTACCGAGAGTCATGGTAATTATGCATGACTAGAGATGTCCTATTTATTACTATTGCAATAGGCCATCTTGTTAACTGAAGAAAATGTAAAGACCTCTATGGTGGTGCTTCTTCTACCACAGATCATTACACAGGTCAAACAATATACAGATAAAGAAGTTGGGGGGAAGCCTGGATTTCCCTTCTTCATACCATTGTGAATCTATCTAAAGCATGTGGACAGCAGCGGTTCAAGAAGGGCAGCTCTCAAGGGCAGCTAGGAATGGGCAATAAATGCTGGCCCAGCCAGGGATGCCCACGTCCCATGAGTGAATGAATCATAATTGGTGGCAGCGAACTCCCTCAAACAACCCCTATGCTGAACCACTGATTGCAGAGGTGGCAAGAGCCATAGGATAGTGATGGCAGTAATCAGGGTTATACCATATCAGTTCATACTGATTTTACGAATATGGTTCAGAGGCTGAAAACACATTGGCCTATATTTCATGGTCCCACTGTTGGAATATTTGAAGTGGGTTGGAGGCTGGGGGACTGGTAAAATAAAACAGGTAGCCTATGACCCAGCTTTCTGCACACCTCTGACCCTTCTCCCATATTGTATTGGGTGGTATCAGAAAGCTCGCCTGGGCTTATTGGGGCTCTACCGCGGCAAATTAATGGCCTTTCAAGGGCCTCATTCTGTCTTCACCACTATATTACGTGCAGTAGGTAAACATGATGGGCAAGATGAACAGCACAGAAACTTTCGCTGCATGGTCTGCTGTCAGACAGGGAGGGAAGGCATACCTCCAGTCTTGAGGTCATTGTCCTCCTCCCGGCCTCTAAACACCCAGCACCCTCCTGTACTTCGCCCCCACTAGCCCAGCTCAGCCAGGCAGGCCTATTGAAAATCCCCAGACCTAGCAGATAGCCAGGATCCTTGGCACTTCATCTCAGGAAATCCTTGTAGCCAGTGGCCATATTGGATTCTGGTGCTGCTCGTAGTACAGAGCAATCAGGATGGTTGGCAGCTCTTCCAGATAAGGGCAGAAGTCCCACATCGAATCAATTGTAATATGATTATGGGGCAGCCAGTTTTCAGGTGGGTGACTGTCGATAGACTTTTCAGTTGGGAGTGTACGAGGAATAGGCCCTTGTAAAATAAGGGTATCAGCAAACTTCACTACAATTGAGAACCTAAGTGTAGCAAACAGCAGAAATGTAAGCCCGACAGGCAGAGATACGTTCTGACCACAAGATGGTACATTATGTGCATCTAGGCCTTGTTTATAGGGAGCAACATGTTGTCTTCATGATCTAATGATTGAGGATCTGGTGTCAGTGAAATATTTCTGCACCTGTCATTTCCTGTGTATATCTGAAGTTGTTCTACAGCATCTAAAATGTGTACATTTATTATATTACAGAAGTCGTCAGCACTTAAAGAAACTTATTTGTATGTCCACTTTTTACAAGTATTGATGTTTCTGGAAGCTAACCAATTCATTATCTGTCTTGGAAGTGCTAACCATTTAGGATTGCTGATAGTTTTGGTTGGTTACTTGTTTTTGGTTGTTGCTCAGAAATTGACACAATGAAATTCCACATTTCAAAAACCCAGATTCCTACAATTTCACCAGTAATTCAAAAATGAACTTTTCAAAGAGAAACTTGGATTTGTTTCTCATAGAATCAGAGAATCCCTATAGTGTGGAAATAGGCCATTCGACTCATTGAGTCTCCACTGACTATCTGAAGAATATTTCACCCAGACCCAGCCCTCCCACCCTATCCCTGTAATCATGCATTTGCCATGGCTAATTCACTTAGCCTGCAAATTCTTGGACACTATGGACAATTCAGCATGGCCAATCCACCTAACCTGCACACCTTCGTACTGTGCAGAAATCCACGCAGACACGGGGAGAGCATGATTTGAGAGAAAAAATAAGCACTTAGCTTTTGAAACTGGCATTAGTCTTTTCAATGGTTATGCATGTGGGAGTCAGCTTTGGTTTACTGGTATACACGCCCAGCTAACTACCAACTACCAGCTAACTAGATTGTCTATTGAATCTTATTTCAACAAACTCAACAAATTTGCAGTGCCTTCCTGAAGGAGTGTTACACTGAGCGGTGCCATTTTTGGATGAGGCGTTGAATGAGGTGTAGATCCCATAGCAATGACTTGGAGAAAAATGTTGCAGCTTTCCTGATGTCCTGGTCAAGATTTATCCATCTACAATACCAACAATTGATGAACCATTCACTTAGGTCACCAACTCCTCTCTCATATTGTCCACTGGGTCTCACCTCTCACAGTGATTGTCAAACATCAGTACTTGATGAGCAGAAATTTGATGGCTCTTTGACTAAGATTTTGGTCATTGATCAAACATCTCTGTATGTGGCACATGTTAAATTTTATTTAATAACACCGACCCGAAACAACATTGAGTATTTCACTAAGATACAGGAGCTATCTAAATGCAAATAGTTCCTTACATTGGGTTTGGTATTTTGTGGCCTGCAATTTGTTTGCTGTGTTTCCTGCATTACAACAGTTATCAATGCACTTCATTATTTTGAAGCATTTTAGGGATGTTATGAAAGACAACATGTAAATGACTCCATGTATTTTGTGCTTTAAGTGCCAATTTCTAATAAACACGGTCTCTCAGCAAGCAGCTCTTCCCATATAGGCAGAGCAGAACTAATTATAAATAAACTTGTGGTTCGTTGAAGTATTTTATCGGGTGGAGAGATTACAAGAGATTAACTGAGGAGGGTGTGAAATTGAAGTAAGTTCCTCTTGATGTTTTTGTGAGAAATAGTAAATTGCTGAAGGATGTCTGCAGAAAGAATGGTCTTTTCCAACGCAACTGCGGATCATACTTCGGTGCCAGTACAAAATGCAGTGGCCTGCGTTGTACTTGGTTTGGCATGTCTTGTTGGAGTACCAGGAAACTTCACAGTGATTGTGACAGTTCTTTGTAACATTAAGCAGCGATCTTCCACCATTGTACTCATCTTATCTCTGGCCGTAGCTGACTTTGTGGTCCTGGTTACTTTGCCGTTCTGGATTTACTTTCTCGCCGATTCGTGGATTTTTGGAATCCTGCTCTGGAAACTGACTGTCTACCTCATCTTCACATCCATGTACGCCAGCGTCTTCTTCATCGCGCTGCTGAGTGTGGAGCGCCTGGTGGCTGTGCTGTACCCGTTCCTGATTCAGAAACGGTGGAAGAGAGCAGCAGTGAATAAAGTAGCTGCTTGCATTTGGATTTCGGCGTTACTCCTCGCTGTTCCTACTCTGACAGTTGAACTCAAGTTGGATGAAAATGGACGGCCATGTAAAAGAGCATATTCCTCTGACCAGCAACAGATGGGTCTTCTTCTGTTGGAAACTCTGGTGGGGTTTCTCATTCCTTTTAGCGCACTGTCTATCTCATACGTTGCTGTTTCTAAAAGAATAAAGCAAATGGTCTTTCGAAGAAGAAACAGGTCGGTGAAGCTAATTGTGGGCATCGTGATGGCATTTGTCATTTGCTGGTTTCCGTATCACACAGGAAACATTGTCAAAATTTCTTCACTCCTGGCAAAGAACTCAAATTCAGAACTCTCACAGAAACTGGACAAAGTTTACCGGTCGATGAAAGATGCATCTGGGGCCCTGGCTTTCGTCAGCAGTTCCATTAACCCCATCCTTTATGCATTTGCCGCTTGGAACTTCAAGAATGGGTTTAAAGTGTCAAATCTTGCTAAAGTTTTTCAACAAATGAACAGTTTTAAGGAGAGATTGGAGAAAGGGATGAATAACTCTGAACATCGGTCTGAATCGATAACTATACTTTAACAATCAGAAGTATGCTGATACGTAAATTATGACAATGTGTCCATGTATTGTTGCTTTTTGTAGCTACAGATAAGTGAGTAATGTTTGTACGTTCTTTGTGTGTAATAGAACACCCTTGCTGCTGAATAACATGACACGAGAAATCTTGGAAGTATTGTAAATTGCTCTGAATCTCATAATGCTTTGCTACCAGTTCATAACTAATTAATTACAAAAGGAAAAGTTGGCATTCTAGGCTATGAGACTCTTATTGCTCATGTTTGGCTATTTATACAGCTGATAGTTGGGGAAGAGGTCAGGAGCGGCAGATGAATTTATTCAGAGGAAAAACCCAGTGGTACAGGTGCCAGTGGAAATGCCTTCGCATACCTTAGCATTTGAGACCAGTATTGGCTGTGATGCCAGTAAAACTGATTATGGCACCAGTACTAATTGTGACATCACTACTGGTCTTGGTACCATCAGTTCTGGTCAGGGCATCTGCTGGGATGTGGCATTAAAGTGTCAGTGAGCATGCAGCATATGTGTGGTGCAAAATATAGGCGGCTTATGCCCAGATGAATTATATACATTGTTTTCAGGTCGAATGAAGGGAATTAAATCCAAGAGTCTGTACATGGATTGGCCTGGGCACCCTCACTTCAACCACATGTCTGCGTGGTTGATAAAAATGAGGGTGCCCAGGCTAACACTCATTCAACAGCTTGAAGGCTATCTAATTACAAATCGAAATCATAAAAGTACACAGCCCTATCGCAGATGGCACGCTTTAAAAGACACTGTGACAAGCAACCAAACAAAGCATGACACACCCTCCTGTCTTATCATTGCAATACAAGCTGTTGTGGCATGACTTGTTTTCTCCTGCTCTGTTCCGGTTCATAATCATCCCTGATGTATCATTCTGGGCCTGGGCTTGCAAAATAACTGTTTGCAATAGTGCTTATCTGCAACAGCACACAGATTAAAGAGAGAATTTGAATTCAGTTGCAAAAAAAAATTCTGGAATTAAGAACTTACTGATGACCATGAAACCATTGTCAATTGTTGGAAGTCTCCCATCTTCAACTGATCTGGCCAACATGTGACTCCAGACCGACAGCAATGTGGTTGACTCTTGACAGCGCCTCTGGGTAAATAAGAATAGACAATAAATGCTGGCCTAGCAGTGATGCCCTCTTCCTGTAAATAAATAAAGAGGAGAAAGTACAGGATGGGTGTAGGACTTTTGGATATGTTGTTGAAGCGGGCACACACTCTGCCATGAATCAATCTGCCACAGAATGTGCCCGAGCTCCATACAGCAGCAGCCAGGGTCTTGACAAACATCATGGAGCTGAGAACATTTTCCCTTTGGTGGTCTGTGATCTCTTGGGGAAAAGAACATATTGGTTTCTCTGCCTCAGAAGTGCATGCAGGTGAAAATATTGTGAAGTTATAGACTACATTCATATATATGACATGCTTTGGAGCTGAATGACAACAGAGAAAATCCTATCTTAAACATCACACCTATATCATACTAGCGGTGCTTTGGGAACCATTACCTGGTGCAATGTGAGGATAGTTTCCTTCCCTATGATGAATGTATAGAAGTGTCTGCATGGACACTGGGCTCTCCACCTATGCCAGGCAATGGCAGTGCAGGGCTCTTGCTCATCTGCAATGATCTGGATAGTTCTGGTCTCATGTGAACTTGGCTTAGCTGGTTTGTAGAGGTCATTGCAATAAAACCAAAACGAGAAAGCTCTTTATTCTCCTCCTACCCATATGATATGCTCAAATCTTAAAGAAGAAATTACGTTAATGTGCATTTGGCAAACAAATACGTTCCACTGTGTGCAGTTCAGGGATTGCTCTTGGATGAGATCGTACAGATGGCCTATTCTGTCCTGGAGGTGACTGATCATGTTTGTGACCCCCTGCAGTTCTTGGCTCAGGGATTCCACCTTCTGTAGGTGGACTTCTTTCTCTGCCTCACCCTGTTTGCCTTCCCTGCCAATCAGATTTGCCCACCTTGATGGAGGGGGCATCAAGGTGAAACAGAGTTGAAGGGGCAAATTCTATTGCATCTACCCACTTAGTCTTGGCCCCTGGAACGTAGCTGGGCATCCTTGTTATGGAACAATCCACCAGGCTCTGCAGTTGCTTCTTCCAGGCACACTTTGTCCAAATTCTCTGGTCCTTCTTTCAACATTAGCACTGAGGTGAGGTGTATACCACATGACACGTACACAGATTTGTCACTGCCATTCTTCAATATTATCCCTCACATTCATAATTCCTTCAAGAAACCAAATGAGCTCCTTGATCATCCACGCTGGTTGCTTCTGTGGCCGCTAATGCCTTCTGCACCTGCACTGTTCTGCTTAAGCCATTGATGTGCATTTACGACTCGGTGGTCCCGCTTTTTAATCTGCTAACATCTCCCTAAATTCTTGTTGCAGGGCACTATCCATTTTCTACTTCTAGCATTGGCACCAACACTTATCTGACTGTTTACCCTTTCCCTCCAGAATGCTCAGCAGCTGTTCAGCAGTATCTTTGATGTAGGATCCAGGGAGGCAACACACCAACCTGGAGTCACATCTGCAGCCACAGAACTGCCTGTCTGTGTTCCTCACTATTGAATCTCCTACCACTATTACTGCACCTTTACTTCTCCTCACCCCTGTGCAGCTGTCTGCACTCTCCAGACAATCTGTCACTCTTGCACTTGTCGGTTTCCAATTTGGAAAAGCTGTCTTTGAATTTTCCATGGGGTTTATCAAGCACATCCTTGCCTCCTTTTCTGACTGATGGTCACGCATTTCTTCTCTGACTTCACCTCCTTAAGATGTGGAATGTCTGCCTCTAAAAAGTATGCTATCCACAGACCCCTCAGCTTCATGGATGCATTGCCTTGCTTCCAGGCGACACTCCAAAATCCAGTGCCCAAGTTGGTCAAATTGGTGGCCCCTCCGGCAGATGTGGTCACACAGATCGCCAGGAGTGTCCTACATCCAGGACTGAGCTCTGACCCGGAACTGAGTTTAAAAATTAAAGCCAATGAAAATAACACTAATTGTAACAATTTTAGTTTCTTATACTATTAACTTCAAATTGTACTCTAGCAGAAAGTAGAAAAATCTCTTGATCTGACTGACAAATTAGCTCCCTTCCTGAGCACACAAATTTCCAAATTGTGTATATTAGTTAGAATTTATGATCTTTGAAAAAGATTCATACAATAACCTTCACCACAATATAGCTGCTTTATGCCCAGCATCACTCCATAGCTGTTTCTTCAACAAGAAAGACACCCCTCTTAATTTCAGTGAATTCAAAAATCTCACTTAAGAGTCTCCACTTGTTATGATCCCAGCTGATGTTATTACTGGACAGGTCAGATCCCAGATTGAAACTTGGCTCAATAGATCATATTTTGATTTGTTTTGGTTTTAATAAAGTACTCTCTTGCTGAAACATAAACATGCAATGCCATAGACTTTGTTTTAACAGTAAAAGAGAAGTTTAGTAATAACAGAAAAGAAGGCAAAATATAATAAACCAAATTATCTGACATGTAATATATATTCAAAAACTATTTTAACTGATAGTAAGAGGATATTAATTCAACAACACTCTTACAAATTGAAAAGAAACAAAACAGCTTTTGTACTGTACTTCACCCATACCCATGGTACACTATCCAAAACACCTGTACAATATTCTCATGAGAATGTCTGGATCCAATACTGTCAGGGAGATGTATAGACACCAGACAGGGGTGCAAGCACATCTAGCAAGGAGCTGTCCAATCATGTTGGTTGAAGGTGTGGGCCACAGTCAGTTAGTCAAGTCCACCCGTGGTAACGAAGGGAGAGGGGAAGAGACAAGTGCAGTCGGGACTGAACCTCCCCAGGTTAGTCTTCAGGAGCTGGGGCAGACCAGGTACCTGGTCTCCAGCAGGACACCAAGTGCCAATGGCCTGGGCTGTTTCCCCGTCAGCAACCACAGAGCTGTCACAGTGAGGCACTCACCAGCTTGTGCTCCCACACTCTCAAAGGCTAACATTGCCATGGAGGGGTCAATGTCTGAGTTGGTGGGAGGGTATGGGAGGTAGCCTTGTTGATGCTTTCTTTGAAGGCTCAGTGCTCTCATTCTCAGAGATCTGGGAGGGGTCTTCGGGGGTGAGCAGCTGTTTCTCCAACCAAGGTCATGGAGAGGTGGAGAGTGCAAGACACAGGAGAGAGAAAGTGTCATGGCCAGTGGTTAGAAGTGACTGACACTGGTAGTGGGGTTTCTGTGCAAGTTGCTGTGGGATGAAGAGTGGGACTTACTTGTTTGACAGGACATCAATAGTCGTTGTTTTTCACGGACTGCAATTTCCCCCCCTCAGTGGTCGAAAACACCCTCGACCGCATCTCTTATGTTCCCCGCACCTCAGCCCTCACACCTCCTCCCGCGATAAAAACAAACACAGAATTCCCCTTGTCCTCACTTATCACCCCATTAACCTCCAGATTCAACGCATCATTCTCCGCCACTTCCGCCACCTGCAATCTGATCCCACTAGGAAGGATATATTTCACATCTGCCTTCCGGAGGGACCTCTCTCTCCGTGACTCCCTCGTCCGCTCCACACTCCCCACTAGCCCCACCACCCCCGGCACCTTTCCCTGCAACCACAGGAGGTGCTACACCTGCCCCTACACCTGCCCCTCACCTCCATCCCAGGTCCCAAAAAAACCTTCCACATTAAACAGATGTTCACCTGCACATCTGCTAATGTGGTCTATTGTATCTGCCGATTTGGCCTCCTCTACATGGGGGAGACCAAGTGGAGGCTCGGAGACTGCTTTGTGGAACACCTACGGTCGGTTCGCGACAAACGACAACACCTCCCAGTCGCGAACCACTTCAACTCCTCCTCCCACTCCTTGGATGACATGTCCATCCTGGGCCTCCTCCAGTGCCACCCAGAAACTGGAGGGACAGCACCTCATAATCCGCCTTGGAACCCTACAACCCAATGGTCTCATGTGGACTTTACTAGCTTCAAAATCTCCCCACCCCCGACCTCATCCCAAGACCAGCACCCCACTCTCATGCCCACCTCCTTGACCTGTCCGTCTTCTCTCCCACCTATCCGCTCCACTACCTACCTGCTATTGTCGTCCCCCCACTCTCTATTTATTTCAGAGACCCCTTCCCCTCCCCCATTTCTGAAGAAGGGTCCCAACCCGAAACGACAGCTTTCCTGCTCCTCTGATGCTGCCTGGCCTGCTGTGTTCCTTCAGCTCCACACCTTGTTATCAACAATTCCAGTCTTTTCCTGTGAGAACCATGTTTCTGTCCTTCAAAGGGGTGAAGATACTGATATCAGACATCCCTCCACCCACAGAGGCTATTTCTGCCCTGTTATAGACTGCTGAAAGGGGAGGGGAAATGAGAGAGATAGGTCTGGAACACTCGTTTTCAGCTAGAACAGATTAAATAGCCTCCTCTGTGCCATGAATCATCAATGTTTCTTGGTTTTTGTGAATTGCCTTTCATATATCTCTTGTTTTGTACATCTCTCCCACCCACCCCGTGCACTTTCTTCCTTTGCATTGTTCTTATATATTTCTCCTCCTGTGTATCTTCCTCTAGTGTATCTAGTTTAGGTGCAAAGACACCAATATGCATGAGTTAAAAGTTTCACATCTCAAAACGCATTTGAATCTGCTTAGAAACAGTGCGCACTAATGAAACCTGTAAATGGTTCATTATTATTACTTAAAATTCATTTTCAGTTACTTAAAATTAGGCTACTTAAAGTTGATGGATTAAACACCCCTATTAAAACTGCTTAATTTTGTGCTAAACACATTTTTATCTGTGCCAAAACTGCACCATATTACAAAATATTTTAAAATCTCCTAAGTCAGTTATGGGTTAGAAACAGGCCATTCAGTCCAATAGGCCCAGGCTGGTGTTTTGTGT